ACATTTTAATGAACTTGCAGAAAATAACAGTTTTAATGAAGATAATGGAGCCAATGATGATGATCTTCAACGAAATGAAGATGATCCAGAAGAATCGGTAAATATTTTTGGAATGTATATAACGAACAAGAAAAAAATCGTAGCAATAATTATAAAAGTAATACGAAATTGACTACATTTTTTTGTACGAAGATTTTTTTTTAGATCAATAATACATGATTGCCATAGAGACCTGCAAAAATCAGAAAAAATCAGATAAATTTTAATTATTTACGGAAAATGTGGAAAAGTCAGGGAAAAATATAAAAAAGTTTACAATTTTAAACTTATTTGCTCACAATTTCCTTAAAATACTCTTATTCCAAACGATTATTATAATTTTTTAAATATTATGTTATGTGATATTTACGGTCAAAATTTATACACTTTAGATACATATTTTATTAAATGTATCTTTTACTCTTGTAAACTGTAAAATTAAAATTAAAATAGTTATAATGATTTTAATAAAATTACTAAATTTTATATTTTTTATTAAATAAAATAAAATCTGTATCTGAAAAAATTCCGTGTAGTGTAATCGCAAAATTGTTCGATTTGCACTGCGAAGTCCTTTTGCAGCCTCTCTAGTCTGCAAATTTGGATTTCATAACGTAAATCGAATAACCTTGCAGTCACAATACATGAAATTCTTTCAGATTCATTTTCCGCAAATTACGGTATTTGATCGATTCAAATGAACGACAAACACACAATAATATAAATCTACATCATTGAAATTTGGTGTGTAATCCTCCAAGAGAGAGAATGGCCAGATACTGAAAACAATCTTGGGTAAAAATGTAGATTAGGGGAGCCTCCCCCAATGACCTTGACCTTGACATATGCTGTCAAGGTCATGACCCTGAGTGACCTTGAGGAAGTTTTAACCGTCGGACCTAACCCGTTAAAAAGTTGTAACAGCCTAATTTTGTACTCGGACTAGCTCGTCGTTTATGTGGATCGTCCGGCAGGAGGAGAGTTCGCTTCGGATCGGTATTTCGGTAATAGCAACTAAAATAATGTACGCATCGGTGGACAGTAACGAATATGATTTATTGATAACAAAAGAAAAGAAAAAAATGAACTGATACAAAAAATAAAACAAGATGAGAATATGAATTATTATGATGCACAGAATAAAGATGAAGTAACGGAAATAATATATACAATAAAACGGAGACTTATGATGCACGGAATAAAGATAAAATAACGACAATAATATGTACAGAGAAACGTAGAGAGGTATGTTAATATACCTATGCTTTTCGCACGGAAACGCGCTTTGCAGAAATATAAACATGCACAGGTACTTTGCGGCGAATAAAACGTACGAACGCGGGGTATTTACACTATACGGCGCGAGAGGTTCGCAGCTACCGGGACGTATCCAATTTGGCAGTTCGCGTGTCCAGCAAGGCGGTCCTGCTAACGTCCGCAGTTTTTCTGATTATCGCGGATTCGCGACAATCGCGGCGCGCGCGCCGGGAAGGGCGGCGACTGGTGTTCGCGATGGACGCGGATACACGCCAGCACTTTAATTGTTTCCCTGACTTTCGCGGCTTACGCGTACCGTATTATTTTCGGTCGTACCGAAGAAGAAGAGGTTCGATAATCGGCGGTCGAGAACGCCCGACGGAGGCAGAGAGCGCCCTACCCCGTTTCGTGAGCCGATTATCGAGATTCAGGTGTAGCGGAAATGTAAGGAAAAAGAATAGGAAAAGGAAAAAAAAAAGAAAAGACGGGCGGATAGCGATGACTCGTGTGTCGGGGACTGTCACAGGCAACGTGGTCCGGCGGCCGGGAACGCCCGACGGAGGCAGGGTACACCCTACCGCGTGGTTCGTCGGAACCAACGTTGCTGTGCAGTTGGCGGCGGAATCGGGTGCTATCGGTGCAGACTTAAAACGGTTCTTCCGGCGGCCGGGAACGCCCGGCGGAGGCAGAGTACACCCTACTGCGTGGTTCGTCGGAAACGTTTGCGTCTGGTAATCGGATTCGGAGCAGCGGAGCGAAATCTAGGAGCTTGTGACTGGATCGAGGTGCTGTCGGAATAAGCGCGCGAGCCGGCTTCAGGACGGTATCTTATACTCGGGCCGCCAGTCCCGCTCGCAAAGTTCCGGCCACCCTCGCCATTCTCCGTCGATCGGCTTCTCGCGGGAGAAGTTTTCCGATCGGCGGTCCCCGATAGTGGCCGAAATCTCCCGACGAGACCGGCGGTTATAACGGCGGCTGCTGTACCTGCGAATTCCCGACACGGCCGAAATCTCCCGACGAGACCGGCGGTTATAACGGCGGCTGCTGTACCTGCGAATTTCCGACATATAGGCCTATGTGGCATGGCCCTTGTCTAGTGACGATGCTATTTTAGGGGGCATCGTTACAAGATCATTGGATTAATATTTCAATAACTATGTTTATCAGTTTATTTTGATCTGTATTGTTTTTTAAAGCAGTGAATTTGTATTTTTAAAGCAGTGTTTTTGTGTTTCTAAAGCAGTAATTTGTTATTTTTAAAGCAGTGACAGATATCTTAACCTCTAAAATCTCGAACTTTAACGCTAAATATCTCGGTTCGTAGGGCAGAGCGACACTTTTTTCTTCCAGATTCTTTCGTTTCATGCAAAAACGCGTCGAATAAGCCTAATTTGATCGATTTTTAAGCTGCTTGAGTGATTCTGTATAATTACCTTTTTTGTCTGACTGGCTTGTCGACAACTTGCCTAACACTGAAAGTTTTAGAAATTTATGCATATCTGTGTAAAATGTCGAAGCAAGAAGGAATCGAAACTTTTATCGTTTTATAACGTAACGTTCATTCTAGAAGATTGATGTCATTATATGTTAATAATTATATAATTATATAAAAGTTAACATAATTAGAAAAATTGTACAATTGAAAATAACATACATTGTTATTTACTAACTGTTAGGTTAAGTTAAAATAAATTAATTAATCCATTATCAGTTTATGTTGCTTTATCTATAAATAAAATAGAAAAAATTATTTCTATAAAATTGATATAAAAATTGCATATTTATTGGTACATAAAATTTCATATTTGTATAACAATAAAAACGTACTTTATTTAATAAATAAAGCTTTTATTGAGACCGGGTGCGTTTCATAGCGGATTCAAACTAGACACCACGGAGTAATAAGAAGGAGATCAAGCTCGAGAATAAATATGGGCTCGAAACACGGTTTCGGAAAACCCCATGAAAAATCAAGAAGATGTGATTTTAGCGCCATCGTGGGAAAAGTTGGAAGTATTGACTGTCACGTGACATATATTTCACTTTCTCTAACCTACTACATTTCGATGTGTTTCGATGTATTTTCCGACAGGCGCGTTCGGATCAGTTCTTCTATACAGCGTTTTTCCGACACCGTGTTTCGAGCCCATCTTTTTCATGGCCGACTGCTTGAGCTTGATCTTCTTCTTATTACTCCGTGCTAGACACGTATGTTATTATTGTCTTAACTGTATAATACGCATGCGTAACATTTTTCACTTTTAACTAAGTCGTCCGATAGTGAAAAATTTACATGCAAGGATATCATTTACTCATGAAAAGAGGACATATAACCATTCACTGAAAACTCACGTGAAAAGTTTCACATTGCAAAAATTTACGATAGAGAAATATATTTATGTCATACATAACTAAATCAACGTTAAGCAATATATCTTTTCAAATTAAACTACGCATTAATTAGTACATTACGAATCGTATACCATGCAGAATATAATAAATCTTTTTCATTTTTCACGTAAACACTATCACGTGAAATTCGTAAAGTGAAAAGTGAAAAATGAAAAAGTTTCATGATCGATACCCAGGGGGCCTATTACGGTTTTCGGATTGGGTGAAAATGACGAAAGTGAGGAACTCACCCAATTACGGTTAATTTCACCTCGTGAGAATACGAAATTATTCGTGTGAGCGGGCTCAGTCAGAAAAGATGTCCGATGGACAGCCTCTTCTTGCTACAAAACGCTTGAAAACATTAAAAAATGCTTCAGACGACAAATTGGATGCCAATTTAATATGAACTGCCTTGGTGGCTAAACACACAAAAATTGCAATATAGCATTTCACAAGCTTAGTGGTTTTCCTGGCTCCTTCCTTGTAGTAAAGGGGCCCTGCATAGTCCACTCCGCATTGAAGCCTCAGATCCTTTCAGTATACCGGAAAATGAATTCCGCTGTCTTTATAGGTAAATGAAATTTTTAATACTTTTGAGGTTATATTTGGGTGCACTTCCGAAAGCAACACAATTCCGATTTTTTTGAAACTTGGTATACTTACGTAATTTGAGCGCTTCAGGTAAATCTCCCATGATGGCTTGAGCAGGTTTTGGCGAACTCTTGTAGCAAGTGATACATTTTCTGAGAATTTGACGAATTATCTTACGTGCAGAAATGAGCCAGTAGCATTGACGAACTGCGGCTAAAGTGGCTTGTGTCCAGCATGAAAATGCTTCTCGTGTTCGTGAACCACAATTAAATAGGAAAATGGATGATTCCTTGGTAACAACAGTGGATGCTTGGATGTATAGGGCAGGGAAGATTCCTTCAACCGACCCCCTACGCGTAGAAAGCCGGAACTGTCGAGGAATGGATTTAATTTTAAAATAGAACTGTTTGTGGGAATGGCCTTATGGTTGTCAAGTGCCTGCATTTCTCTTGAAAAATGTTTCAATTGGATTATCTTTACTAAAACCCCCCCCTCTTTGCACAGGAGCACACGACTTCTACGATTGTACTGTCGGGGCAGAACTCTGTCCATCTCTCCTTCCCCCCCTGCTGAGGGGCGCACTACTTCTACGATTGTACTGTCGGGGCAGACCTCTGTCCATCTCTCCTTCCCCCCCTGCTGAGGGGCGCACTACTTCTACGATTGTACTGTCGGGACAGACCTCTGTCAGTAAATGACTCGTTGTTGTTCGTCGAACGTTATAACTTTAATAGGTTTATTTTGTGGATATGCGACCTCTTGGCATTGGTCGGGTGCAATCTTCGACCTGCGTGCTCCTTCTGTGAAGCGAAACATGTCACTACTCGAATGAGTTTAGTGAAATTGGAATATAGATAGAATATGTCAGGTTCTGACGTGACAGCTGCCGCTACTGTGATGGTTTTAGCCTTTCGTTCGGGAAGGTCAGTTTCATTTCCTGGAGGAGCTCCTTGAGGCCAGCTTTCCTTGTCAAGTTCCAACCAGGAAGGCCCTGACCACCATATCTTCATTTGGGATAGTGATCCCGGCATGACTCCCAGCGACAATACATCAGCTGGATTGTCTTCGCTTCGTATGTGATTCCACTGATGAATTGATGTTAATTCTTGTATTTCACCAACCCAGTGTGCTACGAAGGTTGACCACGAACAACTGCATGATTGTAGCCACGACAGCACAATTGTAGAATCCGTCCATAGATAAATGGAGGAAATTTGACAGGTATGGCATTTTGATACCTTGTTGATGAGTTGGGCTAGTAGTACTGCTCCACATAACTCGAGGCGAGGAAGTGATAAACTTTTTAATGGCGCCACTCTGGATTTAGAGCAGAGTAAGCGGGTGCAGCGCTCATCGTTAATTGAAGTGGAGCACAAATAGATGCATGCCCCATAAGCATTTTCGCTGGCATCGGCAAACCCGTGCAGCTCTAGCCGACTATGTTGTTCTGTAGCAGTGACAAGCCGAGGTATGCGTAGCTTATCTAATTCATGCAACTCGGCTTCAAAACGCTTCCACTTGGTATATAAGTCTAGAGGAATTGCTTCGTCCCATTCAAGCTTTAATCGCCAGAGTTCTTGCATGATGATCTTGGCAAGTAACGTGACCGGACCCACCAGACCCAATGGATCATAAATGAGAGCTATTCGCGACAATACGCGTCGCTTGGTAGGAACGTCAAGATGAGGTAAGTGATTAATGGATGAACATTTAAATTCATCGGTGTGGCAATCCCATGTGATGCCTAGTGTTCTTTTCTCAGTGGTTTTATCAGGAGATAAACCAAATTCTTTTGGGTTGACGGAAAAATTCTGATCCTGAAGGGCTTGAATATTTGATGCCCACTTCCTGATTTCGAATCCTCCCTTTTGAAGTAGCAAAGTGATCTCTTTCTTAATGAGCAGGGCTTCCTCTGGTGAGTCAGCTCCTGTAACGAGATCATCTACGTAAAAATCCCGTAATGCTATCTGTGAAGCTTTTGGATGATGATTTTCATTATCTTCTGCTAACTTCCTAAGAGTTCTGATGGCCAAGTATGCTGCTGAGGCTAGACCATATGTAACAGTGAGTAACTCAAAGGTTTTAATAGGTACGTCCGGCGATTCTCGCCAGAGAATGCGTTGCAATGCTGTTTGATTTGAATCGACCAACACCTGCCGATACATTTTTGTTATATCGGCGGTGATCGCTACTTTGAATGTTCTGAATCAGCTTTGTTCGTCAGTCCAGCAATGTTTTGTTATGGTGCGATCCGCCGTCACAGCGCACATTCCTCGTCCCCGATTTATCGCAGATAATCAAGGACGTTGGTATATCTGAGCGATTGACTTTTCTTCGAAATTTTCTGTACAAAAGCATTCCGTTACACGCACTCGACAACATCGTTTGAGTTGCCATTCCGTTCTCTTAAGAATGTGTTCTATTAACTCTTATTATACAGATATTATACAGATATTATACAGAGATTATACAAATATTATAAGCACATGACAATGAAAATATACGAACTGACTAATATACGAGATTAATAGAATAATTCGGCAATTGTAGTTTTAACAAGACGCGAGCAATACGCAATCGTAGCGGAGGAAATAACGCGTTGATCCTATTTGAACAAGTCTACGTTAATCCTGAAAAACGCTAAGAATATGAAAAATGACATCCCAGGTAACAGGGTGACGTAAAGTGACATCTTAATGACATGTTATTAATGCTAAAGATGTTATTAAGACGTCATTTGACATCATCTTGCTACCTAGGATGTACGAGTATATAGAAAATCGTACTATTACAGACATTTGAGCGACTATACATTGAAAATGGCTCATAGGATTAAGTTGTGGCCATGATAACTTTTCATCAGTATGACTTAAATAATAAATTGGCAAAGTTATAGCCAAATCCACGGAACTCCATTTCCCATAAGGAGTGTGCGGGGTCCTTTGTATATCCATATGTTGTTCGCAATGCGGATTTTGGCGCATATAGCTCCCTCGATCTATGCCAATGCCATCTAAATATGTAATTCTGCTTCCGGTTTCTCTTTTGTTTCTTACTATTTTGAAATAGCCGTGAATCTTGTTGCATCATCCGTCGTGTTGGATGGACACGTTTTTATCGGGTACGTGCTTGTTTCCGCGTTATATTTTTGAAAAGTGTTGTGCCGACTTTGACTGTGCCGTGCGATTACTCAAAATCCGCCTAGCGGTCTCGCCATTTTATGGATGTCCCGTTCGTTCATCCTGACGCGCGTGTTAGCGGCGTGACGACGTCGTGGACGCAAGCAGTTAGGTTAGTCGGTGTTCGGGCGATTCTCGCCATTTTCGCGGGTTATGCATTTTTTAATTGAAGACATAAGGTTTGTTCGCGTCGCATGCTCTAACATGCTCCAATATGCTCCTAACATAGCTCTTACTCTCTCCAACGCGCTCGTTGAAGTGAGCAAGAGCTATGGTAGGAGCATATTGGAGCATGTTGGAGGTTGGAGCGTGCGATGCGAACAAACCTTAAAACTGAAATAGCCGTGCAAACGGTACGTGTACTGAAGTGCGAACCGTGCCGTTGTGCTCGTCGTGAGCATCGTCGCAATCGTCAAGAGCATCACTTAGGCCAGTCATCTTATACATTTGAGTGGGAAAGTGAACGAAGACGCGAGATTTTTTTTAGGCTTGTTGGGGGTGTCAAGGAGAGCTTATTTCTGAGTTGTCGTATACATAGACCTTAAGCTAAATTAGGTGGGGGAAGGTAATTTTGCGTTTTTTCGCTGTAACTCGGTCAATTTTGGTCGTAATTGAACGTACGACCTCTCTTTTTGTAGGTATTTTCAAGCCCTACAAAAGTGTCAGTGACGGCATTTTGCTATCTATTAACCGGAACGAGTTAAATGCAACAAAAGGCGAAAAAAAATGATTTTTTGCCTCAGGGGAGCCTCCGGAAGTCGAGCGCCGGAGGCTCGACGACGGCGGCGGGACGGCACGTGTCGCGTAAAATCGAGCGCGCGGAATTCCGTACGTATTTCGTTTCTTATATTTTTCTTTTCCGATATATTTCCCTTTATATTCCTTTATATATTCATTATATTTATATTTATTTATTTACATTTTTATTGTATATTTGTCTTTTTCTTTATATTCCGTTTATATATTATATCTTATATTTTCCTTTTCTTATATTTCCGATTGATATATTATTTTTCTTTAATATTATTATTATTATTCTTAATAACATTTCATAATGTAATGTTCAAAATGTGTCTGAAAAGGATGGGTTCTGTCGAATGAAACGCTCGAGAAACACATGTGATTATTAAAAAGAAAATATGTATTACAGTAAAAATATTTATGAAAAAAGGTATGAAAATATAAAAATGAAAAGGACCTCGCACAAAACATATGGGAAATAGATCCCAGTCGATTTGGCTGAAATTTGAATATGATGTAGATAAAATGGTCCTGATCAAATGTTCTCATAGGTTGAAGGACCAATAATGGCTAGTTTCCGAGATATTCGAATCGAAAGAATAGAATAATGGGTAATTAGTCTTAAAGCTGCAGCCGAAATATAAACATTCTCGGTTTCGTTGTGTGTCCGTGGATTGGTATTTTGTGTGACAACCATTTAAGAATCCCGCATAAACACACACACACACACGCGCGCGCGCGCGCGCACGCGTTAATCATCGATATAGGCAATAAATAAAGTACGCAAAAGTCGCTGTCTCCGGAGTGAGTCGTTACCCGCAGTATTTGGTAAGAGAGGGTGAGAGAGATAGTGAGAGAGAGAGGGGGGTGGGAGAGGGAGAGGGGGAGAGAGAGAGAGGGAGGGAGGGAGAGAGAGGGAGAGAGAGGATATAGCGGCGGGATAAAAAAAAACAAATAAGTTTTACGAATTGTAATTATGTGCATTGCAATGTATAGTGGAGATAGACAAGAGAATATGTAGAAGTTAAAGATCAAAAGAAGTAATATTTGAAAAGGGGAATACAAGTGAAAACGCAGAAACATCAATAAATACTCATTAATAGTGTGAATGAATACGTCCGTAACGTATATGTTTTTTCACTCGCTAACACTCGCTTGGCCAGCGATATTATAATAACATTATAATATTATTACCCGCCCTCCCGCCGCTATCCTCCCTCCCTCCCTCCCTCCCTCCCTCCCACTCTCTCTCTCTCTCTCGATCTGTGAGTATTAGGTCACAAATATTTTTGCTCCGGTGCTATATCATAAATCTCACGCTCTATTAACTTTTTTCGAGGGATACTATCGGAGGAAGGTGCGTAGCCAGTGGACATACACGTTTGACGCAAAATAAACGAAAAATCTGCGTGTCTATGTCCTCCGTGTGCCTTTTTCTGAAATTTGCCAAATATCACATTGACGGGCCAACGACATTATTCGGCTAGAATAATCAGTGCGCAAGTCAACGCTGTCACGTGACGTCTCTAGCCTATCAATCAGCACTATCTTGGACATCTACACTACGCCTCTTGTATGTATTGAGCATCAACTGTCAACTAAATATCCAGCGTCTTCAACGCCTATGCTCGCCTAATGCCCAAACCTAAGACTAAATCTCAGTGTCCAAAAATTGAAAGCACAGCTTCCAACTCGATCTGTGTTAAGTGCAATAAACCTGTTGTAACAAAAATCGAGTGCAATATCTCATCTGACCTGCGTAAAAGAATCAAAGAACGTGATAAAGTATTTACACGTGCAAAGCGGACTCGCAATTCCATGTTGTTAGAGCAGTATAAGTATTTGCGTCGTACAATTAAGCAAGATATTAAGTCAGCTAAAAACCGTCACATAAGCAATCTAATACTCCAACAATCGAACCCTAATAAATTGTGGTCATACTTGCGCAGGTGTGGTCTTGCAGGCAGTGAATTATTATCTGCGCTTCATCACTTCGCCCCATCTATCTTAATCCGTCACTATGCATCCATATCATCAAATCATCCGCTCTGTGATCATGCAACACTTAACTCCATCCTATCTCGGACTATTCTTAACTGTCAATTGTCATTCAATTTTTCTCTCATTAGTCACCTCGATGTCTTCAACAGCCTCAATTCCATTCTCAAGAAAACTCGTGGCCGCAGCCCAGATCAACTTCCCCTTGCGTACTTAAAGCCATTATTTCCAGTCATTGTTCCGTATCTAGTAACTATTTTCAATCAATCCCTTATTACTGGTGTTTTTCCATCCCTCTGGAAATCTTCATATATTATTCCACTCAAGAAAAATCCCGATCCTTCTAATCCATCTGACACACGACCAATAACTAACTCACCTCACTTGTCTAAAGTCATCGACTCTCTAGCTACGCGCCAAATTGTTGCATTCCTTGAAAACAATGGCATACTGCATCCCAAACAATGTGGTTTCCGCAAATATCACAGCACTCAAACGGCACTATTGCATCTTCTTGATGACATCCGAGTGGGTGTGGATAGGGGCTTCGTTACTATATTGGTGTTATTCGATTTCTCGAAAGCTTTTGACAGCTTGAGTCATACTACAATCTTGACTTGTCTACGAGAAATAGGCTTTGAGGATTCAGCGCTCAAGTGGATGCATTCATTTCTGTCAGGACGGTCCCAGTCCATAATCGGACTAGACGGCCAGCCGTGTCAGCTCGAATTTACAACATCAGGCGTTCCACAAGGAACAAGCTTAGGACCTATTCTCTTTATAATTGTCATCAATACTCTATTCTCCAGACTTCAGCATTGTCGAGATACTACCATCATCTTCGCTGATGACACTCAATTCTACCTATCGACTCCTATAAGCCGCATTAACGATACCATACAGCAAATAAATAGTGATATTGCTAAGTTACTCCAATGGTCCAGTGAATATGGGCTAATATTAAACACCCCTAAAACAAAAGCAATTATCCTAGGATCTACACAAAACCTAGCATCCCTTAGTGACCTACCTCTTCCACCAATCATAGTCGGTACTGATGTGATACCCTATTCTGACCATGTCAAGAACCTTGGAGTAATAATCTCATCTGACCTT